CTCGTCTTTTATTTTTGATACAGTCATACATCTTATCTTTAACGTCATCTTATGCGATGAAATGCAAAGCCAATTAAGGATCAAACACTTGACTACTGGCATTGGGAATGTGGAATGGAATCACTGTGATATAAGGTTTAAGCAGCGATGTATATTATGAATACGATACATAACGTTTGAAGCCTCTACTGGTGCTTCAGTTATGATGTAAACACCGAAAAGTGTCGTACTTCAGAACATTCTTAATAGCATCGTGTACGTCAGTGACGCAGGTCTACTTGCATACACAGTGGAGACAAAAACATGTTGTACAACCCAAAGAAATGTTCGGTCTGGCAATGAATTCAAAATGACGTTTAATTACTTGCAATGAACGACGGTTCCAATCTCAGCAGATGAACAGATGGACCGTAATTATAAGGAAACCATTCGAGCTTTTATTGGCGTTTACGTGTATAAGAAGTTCCTCTTCGGTTTTGTTGGGATTGGCTGTACTAATTGTCTTTACGTTCGGAATTGCACTTTAATTACTCACCTGTTTCAAGCTTTGATCGTGCACGGTGAATCATGGCCAGATTGCCCGTTAAGACCTATCGGTCAACGCGTACCCATATGTACATAAAGCCGAGTCAGAGCAGTCTATGTATCGACCATCATCCCATTCGTCCATAATCAATACATCCTGCACAAGTCATGAGTCCTCCATCTATCCACTATACCTATCTATTTGTTCAAAACCAATCTATCCTCTATCCTTCATCTACCCATCCGTAATCCTCCCTTATCCATCTCTACCTATGTACAATGTGTGAAGCCCAATTCTGGTGACCCCCGCCGTGATATGGCTGGAATATTGCTAAAAGCGGCGTAAAATCAAACTCACTCACTCACTCTACCTATGTACCTATTGGTCTACACATAAACCATCCTCCATTTATCCTGAATCCATTCTCATACAACCACTACCTATCTATTCTTCCTTCCATTGTCAATCCATCCTCTTCCATTCTCTAACTTTCCTCTACCATCCGTAATCCTGCCTCTATCCATCTCTACCAATCTACCTATGTACCCATTGGTCCACACACAATCCATGCTCCATTCATCCTTAATCCATTCTGTTACCATCTGTACCTATCTAGCCATGCCCCCATAGTCAATCAATCCTCTACCTATCGTTAATCTACCTCAGTACTCATACATCTACGCTGAATTCATCCTCTATACACCCCATACTGCTGTCATGCTCCATCCAACTTCTACCCATTATCTACCAATCTACCTGTGTACGCATCCTCTATCTATCCCATACTGCCACCATTTTCTATCCATCAATTACCAATCTATCTATGTACCCGTCGACACTCATCTACCTAGTATTCTAAATACATCATCTCCTGACCTATATCATCATCTGTCCATCATCTACCCAGCCGTTACGTATCCCTTCACAACCTCTGTCAGGACAAAGGTGGCCTAGTCGTCTAAGCCGCTGCAATTCGCACGCCCAAAAACTTATGATCGTGGGTCCGAATCCCGGTTCGCCTCGATTTTGTTCCTAGGTTTGTCAACACCATACCTGTGCTCGTGGGTTTCAAGTGGTAAAGGTCTGAGACAGGCATCACTTTCTGGCTTTCCTCATACAACAAACTGACACGCCGTGATATATCAAGAATACTATTCAAAGGGACGTTAAACCTCACTCACTCACTCACTCACTCACTCACTCACTCACTCACTCACTCACGATTAATGATATCGTATTCGAATACATCAGTTGTATGTTGCAGATATGCAGTGCATATGTCTATACTCACGTCTATACTCAATAAATGTCTTGTGAGAAATTGAGACATTGTCTCTGTAGTATAAGGATAGACAGATTGATCTTGATAATAAAACTGAATGATTATTAGTTGAAGATCAAAATGCACCTGTTTGATGGAGATTTGATTCTTCGCATCTGTATGTTCTCTTTATGTGTAGATTACATACGTCGTTACATTTTGCAAAATGACAGTAAAGATAGTGTTTAACGGTACCAATTAAGTTTTGATTGAGGGTGGTGACATGTTACGTCTTAGCTTATTCTTATAACAGAACCACGTCTCCAACAGGCCCAACTATGCTGCCGCATTAATCATTAAAGCACCTAGAGTGAGTGAATGAGTGAGTATGGCTTTACGCCGCTTTTAGCAATATTCCAGCATTAGCATGGGGACACCATATATGGCTTCACACATTGTACCAATGTGGTGAATCGACCTCGGGTCTTCGGCGTGACGAGCAAACGGTTTAACCACTACCCGACTGCCCCTACAGCCCCTACAATGGTCGACATCAAACAATTCATTGTTGGTTCGATTTCAAGGATCGCTCTGGTTTGTCAGCACCATACCTGTGCTCGTGGGCATCACTAAGGGGGTACGTCAAAAAGCTGCATCCCTCCCTCATTAAGCCGACTACAGAGACTGTCCTGGATGCCGTTAAACCCAACTCACTCCCTCACATGTTATAGGAGTCAGCTGAATATCAAAGCAATAATCTGAATGATATTTGCTGGAGCTGCACATCGGATTAAGACATGCCCCTTTTAAATCTCCTTATACTATTAAATCTATGTATATGCTAATTGTTTATTAAGAATAGTAAGGCAATATACTAATTTGAATGAAGCCTACTGGTGTTGCGCAATGGCTGTTTTCGGACCACACTTCAATTACAATAAACTTCGGTTATAACGAACACGCTTATAACGAACTGACGGATATAACGAACAACCTTTTTGGTCCCGACTTTTTGCTGTAGTTCAATCAATCTTTATTTCGAGTACTGAAAAGGCCATAGGCCTATAGTACATATATACATACAGTAGCAATGGGTGCAATAGGAATTACATATATCGTAACAAAATATCACATCTATAGTGCAGAGGATCTGATGTTCATTGCATGATATATATACATTGAAAGATATTTTGTGACTGTTTCATTTTGGGATGACATGAGGATATAAAATTTGTCTATTCTAGGATTCAGATAAAAATATTTATGTATGTATTCTTTTCTGATATTTGCATACAGTGGACAGACTAGCAAAAAATGGTATTCATCTTCTATCTCTTGGCAAGTACAATATTTACACAATCTGTTTTCCCTTGGTATCGCTAAATGTCTACCTTTTTCTATTAGAAGGTCATGAGAACTACATCTGAAACGGGATAGTGCTGTTCGGAATTTCTTAACATTTATATCCAAAAGATATTTTTCGGTCAGAATGAATGATTTAAAACAGGTGTAATGCTTTAACTTATTATGTAAGTTTAGTGAAGAGTATCACTTTTGAAAATACATATCTTTTAGCCTTTGTCTTAAATTATATATAAAACGATCTGGTACTGTTACATGTTGCTCTCTCCAAATGTACTCATACCCGCAAGATTGGAGTATCTTTTTGACACCCGAGGCCCAGTTATTTTTGCCTCTGCTATCGTAAAGAATCATCATGTTATAGCATTTCTTTGGGAATCTGGTATTTGGCATTTTAAGCAATTTTATCCAATATTTTATTACTTTTATGTAACTGAATATATACATTGGGTATCTCCCAGATTCCCCGTAAACTGTAACATTTGGAGTGTTGGAATTTACTCCTAGAAATCTTTTATACGCAAATAGATGAACCTTCTCTATTGTATCATAGTTCTCTGGGCCCCAGACTTCAGCACCATAGAGTAAAATAGGACTGATCTTAGTGTCGAAAATCTTAGAGAATGTTTCAAAGCTAATATTTCCAAGGGGTTTTAGGTTTTGTAAAATGCCAATTAAAATCTTTTTGGCTTGTAGTGCGGCTTTGTTGCAATGCAGTGACCAAGTAAGTCGATTTGTAAAATGTACCCCCAAATATTTGTAACTTCTTACAACCTCAAGTTTTTCACCTTTATATAGCCATTTTTCTCGTTTTGATAATTTCCCTCCATTTCTGAAAACTACAACCTTTGTCTTATCGATATTGACCTTCAATTTCCATTTGTTACAATAATACTCAAGTTCATTTATTAACTTTTGAAGTCCAGGTACTGTGCTCGAGAACATAACTATATCATCAGCAAAAAGGAGTAGGAAAAGTTTAATAGTTTCTGGATGGAGTTGGATACCCTCGTTACAATTTTCAGATATTTGTATCGAAAGTTCATTTATGAAAAATGAAAACAGGAATGGACTTAGAATACATCCTTGTCTAACCCCAATATTACAGTAGAAGGAATCAGATAAGGTGTTATTGTTTCGAACACAGACCTTCACATTGTGATATATACAACATAGTAATTTACCAATTTTAGTACTGATACCTTGAGATTTGCAAAGGGACCACAACATGTTTCTGTTAATTGAGTCAAACGCCTTAGCAAAATCAACAAATATAGCATACATTTTTTCTCCTTTTCGTGCTAAATATCTCTGTACAAGTGTCTGCAATACAAATACATTATCAATTGTAGAGTATCCATGCCTGAAACCGGCTTGTGCTTCATCTATCTTATTAAAGGAATTTGCTGTAGTTATGCTGTATATATGCTTATAACGAACTACGGTTAAAACGAACTAAAATTAGTAGTTCCTTTGAGTTCGTTATAACCGTACTTTACTGTAGTTAAATCGTAGCCACGTGGGGATTCCGAGTAAGCAATCTTTGCAGGTTGTAAGAGGCGACTAAATGGAGGGTGGTCGGGTTCGGTTGATACCATGTCATCGTACCCCGACGACGTGGATCGTTGCTCACAATATCAATCACTGGTTTGTCTGGTCCAGACTCGATTATTTACCAGTCGCCGTCGTTTAGCTGTGCGGTGTTAAATAACAAACCAACAAGCTAAACTTAATCTTCCTTATGTAATAATTTCATCATATAACACTATGCAGGATGTGTAACTAGTATTCCGCTGGGGTCTCAATGACACTAGGGCAAGTGGTTTAAGTGATGAACTTTGCATAGAAACATTGGGATGAGGACGTTTTAACATGCATGATGGAGAACTTTGGAAACAAAGTATCACTTCCTCAAATATATAAGTAGTCCCATGATCTTCATGCAAATTAATAGCAGACTGGAAAAGTGATTCGAGTGAAAGTTACGTCGCCATGCTTTTTCTACATACTTTCAAGAAGATTTTGTTGATAATTATCCTTGGATTCACTTCAAGCAAGGGAATACCATGGTATCAATGGAAGCCTGGTAAGTGGACGCCATACAACATAGTATTAATAATGTTCTCCATTAAGTGAGTGAGTATGTATGGTTTTACGAAGTTTTTAGCAATATTCCAGCAATATCACGGCGGGGGACACCAGAAATGGGCCTCACACATTGTACCCATGTCGGGAATCGAACCCGGGTCTTCGGCGTGACGAGCGAACGCTTTAACCACTAGGCTACCCGACCGCTCCTGTTCTCCATTAAAGAGAGCATCACGTAATGGTCTTCATACCAGATAGCACTACTAACGTTTTGTAAAACAATGTAGCTATGTTCTTCATATATATCTTGACTTACTGTTCTTCTTTCCAGATAGCATGACTTACTGTTCTTCATATCACATAGGGGGCGGTCGGGTAGCCTAGGGGGTAAAGCGTTCGCTCGTCACGCCGAAGACCCGGGTTCGATTCCCGACATGGGTACAATGTGTGAAGCCTATTTCTGGTGTCCCCCGCCGCGTTATTGCTGGAATAATGCTAAAAGCGGCGTAAAATCAAACTCGCTCGCTCATATCACATAGCATTACTTACAGTTCTTCATATCAGATAGCATTACTTAGTGTTCTTCATAATATAGCGTTACTAAGTGTTATCCGAATCACATGGTATTATTAACTGATCTTCATATCATACAGCGTTACTTGGTGATCTTGCCAGAGAGCATTACTCACTGTACTTCATATCATATAGCATTACATACTGTTCTTTAAATCAGATAGTGATATTTAGTGTTCTTACCAGAGAGCATGACTTACTGTTCTTGTTACCGGAAAGCATGAGTAAAGTTCTATTTACCAGATAACATTATTTAGTGTTCTTCATATCACATCACATTACTTAGTGTTCTGCTGACCAGATAGGTCGCTGTATGGCTGAAATAGTGTTCTTCATTTCAGAGGCATAATATACTATTCTTCTTACCAGAAAGCATGATTTAAGTTCTATTTACCAGATAATATTAACATTATTTAGTGTTCTTCATATCACATAGCGTTACTTAGTGTTCTACCTACCAGATAGCATTACTTACTGTTCTTCTTACCCGATAGTATGGCTTATTGTTCTTCATATCAGAAGCATCACTTACTATTCTTTCTTACCTGAAAGCATGATTTAAGTTCTATTTACCAGATAAAATTATTTAGTGTTCTTCATGTAACATTGCGTTACTTAGTGTTATCCTCACATCACATAACATTACTCACTATCATATAGCGTTACTTAGTGTTCTTAATATTAGATAGCGTTACCTAGTATTCCACACATCACATAACATTACTCACTGTTCTTCATATCATATAGAGTTACTTAGCGTTCTTAATATCAGATAGCGTTACTTAGTGTTCCTCACATCGCATAACATTACTTACTGTTCTTCATATCATATAGCGTTACTTAGTGTTCTTAATATCAGATAGCGTTACTTAGTGTTCCTCACATCAAATAACATTACTCACTGTTCTTCATATCATATAGTGTTACTTAGTGTTCTTAATATCAGATAGCATAAGTTATTTGTACGTTTGTTATGCAAGATATAATTCACTGTACTTCATACCAGAATAACTGTTTTTCAGGCTATTTTTTATTATTGCTTATTGTTTTCGGTTATTGCTTCAAAACACGCAATTTCCTCCTGTGAAAGAAGGAGACGAACAATTTTGTGTTTACACATTTGTTTTCAGCAAATCTAGCAAAACCTGTAGTCAAATAGTGTATTTGTATAGTTTTGTTCTGGAATAATTTCTGTTTATCGAAAAGCTTTCACAACCATGTACATTAACACCAATACATCAAAATGACCTTTTTCAGAATTTGTGCTGACATACGAACCATCTCCAGCTCGAACAGGTTCGTCGGTCTCCCTCACATGTCAGGCACCGAGCGGGACCCTTCTCGGAACAAGTGATATTTTGCAGTGGAAACATGAAGATAAGATATTTGTAAATGTCAACTCTAATACCTGTCAACCAGTTTCAACACGCCTGTCGTGTAAAACCGACTACAGCAGGCACATCGTCACCATCAACATATCAAATGTAACGATGGCTGATAGCGGGCTGTGGCATTGTAAACGCTATGGTATAAGGCAGCAAAGCAATGTTGTACAGCTTAATGTCACTTCAAAAGGTATCAGTATATATCTAGGCCTTGTTCCTTCAACTAATTCTTCCTGGTTGTGCATGAATACAGATTTACAATTTTATCTATAAAAGCTAACAGTAGTTAAAGGCGTTGGATTGAAGTAGTTACTGTAACTTTAAGTAAAAAAGTCCTTAATGGAACATAATTAATTCGAAAATCGTTTAGGACTAATTAAATGCTCAAGTGAGAATCCCTATCAGCATTATCATAATCTTTTTGCACTCTTAGGATCATTTTCGAAGGTCTGTATGAATTCAAATTCAGGAAGTTTCACAGTGTTCTGTCATAACTTAAATATTCCTTAATTGAATTTGAAACCTTGTCGTTTAGCGAGTTCCGATACTATAAAAAAATTATATATATATGTATTATCCAACAACTAAAGATTCGAACTTTTATAGAATACCATTTTGGACTCTTACTTCTTACTTTGTCGAAAATAATGCATGTAATGTTTAGGTTAATTTTTATACACATTTCTGTACTCACATTATTTTGTTTTCCTTTTCGTTTATCTTATGTCCTAATGTTGAGCCCTGACCTCACTCACTAAGAATTTCTAAAGTTACCCACAGAATCACTATAATTATCTCCAAATATAACTAATTGTTCCCACTCAGAACAGTAAAGATTGAAACCTACGTACTTGGTACGGTAAAGCCTATTATTTACAACACGATCGTTTATCCATCATGAAAGATCATATTGACGTTCAACCATTGACGTAAAGATGTCCTATTTTCAGTTTCGCCCAAATTACTTGTTTCTGTAACCAGAGATGCGTCTTCCTTCTCGATAACCTGTCACATAAGTGGTGACTACGATGGTGTGGAATTTAAACGGTGGCTTCAGTATTACCAGAATGCATTGATCAGGGAAATTGCTGGTCAGAAGATCAACAGGTCAAGCAATGGATTGACCATCTATGAACCATCATTCAAGGACGATGGTGTTTATGTTTGCACAGCGGAATACTGGGATGACGGTTCCTATCACAACCTGACACGGAAGATACCAGTTGATGTCAAAGGTATTGAAAATAGTCATGAACATCATTGCTCATAATACTTCTCTTATGTTGGCTGCCTTATATTTGCTGACCATCAAACGGAAATGGCAGCTTAACAAATTCAAGGAAGTGTAATTCCCACAGGGTACTTAAAAACAGCCTTGGCAACTTAACTGGTCATCGTTTATTGTTCCTGGTTGTGATCTGTCTATGTGCTTCGATAAAATGCGGTCAATATATGTAACCATTACCGGTTCATTGAATACAGAGATTTAATATATAGAAGATATTTGGCTTTGATAATGTGACCTGATAATCTTAACATTTGTCAGGTCACGAGGTGAGATAGATTTATTATTTGGGAAGAAAAAAGAAATGGTCTGGTTTTATTAAAACGTTTCTCACGATCCTGTCATATATAACTGGCAAAGAGGCAGACAGAAAGTAGTTCCGGCATGTGGTGTTTCATTCGAGTGTTATAATTGCAGTTAAATGAAATATCGATTTTATAGACATATTAAGTAACTACATTTATACCCCGTAATCTAAATCCTGATATAATAGACTAAGAACTCGATTGTCATTCAAGAAGTTATTCACTCAGATGAAGGTATTTATTTTAGAGATTTCACAAGCGCTTCAAGTGAATGTGATTTATCTCAAGGTAATTCGCATTAGCTGTGTATTGTGGAAAATGCGCTTAAAGAACAACAGGTCGGTGTAATCCACGTTCACCATTCATGCATCAGCCATAGGATTGATTAATTTATGTATTTTTTCCACTTGAACAAAAACATTGCAAATATAAATTGTGATACAAAAGTACATACAAGAGTCCATGGTTGTACGAGCGTGTAAATTACCCGTTTTTAGTATTAATGCGAAATTTTGTCAACGTGAATCGAGCTAAGCTAGTCATAATAATACCAGACATCACACTGATAACCGAGTGTAAGGTTAACACTTATAACAGCCAACTTTTAAAGAATACAATGACTCTAGCATGCCTGATTTGCGTGCATGTTCTGTATACTCCATCCATCTCCGCAAATTGTATATTTGGAATCTCTTTCAGCTGATGGCTTGAACGTCAAGAGAACTTTACTCAGTATTAATTCATATACTTACTCAACATAGAAGATGAAAAAGCAACATCTGCCATGCGATGCCTTTGTCCATAAAATGCAGATGTGTGCCTGATTGTACAGATCCCCGATGTTTGATCGGCGTTTAGATTACACGTTATCAATCAATAGAGCAAACGTTTAGATCGACTAAGCGTATAAAGATTGAAGGTGTTTAGAAGGACGTTCATGTTTAGGTCGACTGGATACAGAAGGTCGTGCATGTGTTGATCATGTGGGTAGAAGGATTTGCATGTATAAGTCGAGTGAGCATAGAAGGATGTGCATCTATATGTCGAGTAGGTATAGAAGGGTGTGCATGTATAAGTCGAGTGAGCATAGAAGGGTGTGCATGTATAAGTCGAGTGGGTATAGAAGGGTGTGCATGTATAGGTCGAGTGGGTAGAAGGATGTGCATGTATAAGTCGAGTGGGTATAGAAGGGTGTGCATGTATAAGTCGAGGGAGTGGAGAAGGGTGTGCATGTATAAGTCGAGTGGGTATAGAAGGATAGGCATGTATAAGTCGAGTGAGTGGATAAGGGTGTGCATGTATAGGTCGAGTGGGTATAGAAGGATGGGCATGTATAAGTCGAGTGACTGGAGAAGGATGTGCATGTATAGGTCGAGTGGGTAGAAGGATGTGCATGTATAAGTCGAGATGGTATAGAAGGGTGTGCATGTATAAGTCGAGTGAGTGGAGAAGGGTGTGCATGTATAAGTCGAGTGGGTATAGAAGGGTGTACATGTATAAGTCGAGTGAGTGGAAAAGGGTGTGCATGTATAGGTCGAGTGGGTATTGAAGGATGTGCATGTATCAGTCGAGTGAGCATAGAAGGATGTGCATGTATAGGTCGAGTGGGTATAGAAGGGTGTGCATGTATAGGTCGAGTGAGCATAGAAGGATGTGCATGTATAGGTCGAGTGGGTATAGAAGGATGGGCATGTATAAGTCCAGTGAGTGGAGAAGGGTGTGCATGTATATGTCGAGTGGGTATAGAAGGATGGGCATGTATAAGTCCAGTGAGTGGAGAAGGGTGTGCATGTATAAGTCGAGTGAGTGGAGATGGCTGTGCATGTATATGTCAAGTGGGTATAGAAGGGTGTGCATGAATAAGTCGATTGGGTGGAGAGTGGTGTGCATGTATATGTCAAGTGAGTATAGAAGGATGGGCATGTATTAGTCGAGTGAGTATAGAAGGGTGTACATGTATAAGTCCAGTGAGTGGAGAAGGGTGTGCATGTATAAGTCGAGTGGATGGAGATGGCTGTGCATGTATATGTCAAGTGAGTATAGAAGGGTGTGCATGAATAAGTCGATTGGGTGGAGAGTGGTGTGCATGTATATGTCAAGTGAGTATAGAAGGATGGGCATGTATAAGTCGAGTGAGTATAGAAGGGTGTACATGTATAGGTCGAGTTTGTGCAGAAAGGTGTACCGCATTATAGGCGCATTACAATAGTGAAGACCAAACCGATTCTGACTGTGTATTTAGCAGCAAAGCAAAGCAAAGTATAATTTATATTGTGAGTGGAAGTATGAATTAGTTTTCTTTTTCAGCACCTCCAAGGATTCTGAACAACACTCAGGGCGCAGATCCTCCACAGCTCGTTTTACCACCAGGAGAATCCTTCACAATGGACCTCCTCGTCCTCAGTAAGAGTCCAGTCTCATACACATTCTTCATGAATGGACAGGCCATAGAGATGGGTGCTGATGACCTGGTCCGATCTGTCATGACACCTTCGGAGATGATGGTGTTGACCTTTGGGCAGAATGTGACCAAATCTGGTTATATGGTCAGTCTCATTATACCGGATCAGCCCCAGCGCCGTGCCGGATTGGTCACGATGTCCATCTGTAATTCTGAAGGATGTGCGCAATATGTAGGACCACGACTATCAGCCGGCAGTAAGTCGTTACACTATTGGTACATATATACTTGGCATACGATTGCATGCATCAACCAAGTCAGCGAGCCTGACCCCGTTAGTCCCCTCTCTACGACAAGCATAGTCGCATTTTACGGTAAGCATGGGTTGCTGAAGACCTATGCTTCCCCTGATCTTCACGGGTAGCACTGAATAAGATAATTAATAAAAACATGACAACTTAATTCGAGCACAATAAAAAACACACATTACCTACTGAAGTACTGAATAAGAGATTTTATAGGTAATGTGTTTCAATTAGGCTCGATTTAACTTCACGAGCGACCATTTCGTTTAATCGAGCACTCAGGTCAAACATTGTTTGATCCCACAACAGTGCTTACATTATCGTTCTGTTTAATCATTGGATTTTCTACACATACATATATGGAGTATGTTTCTACTGGTGTTTTCCGGAAGTGCAGAACATGCCTACCCTTTTCGCGAACATCTGGTGTCATCACTTATTTTCAGTGATCCATTCATATAATTTTCACCGCTATTTTGCGTTTTCCTCCCAATGGAATTTGATTCGTCGGATAATCGAGTCGATTGTACGATTCCGACTATATTTCCGATACCCATGCTTTACACTGACTAAATGCGATCAAGTTTCATGATGAACTCACTTCATATGATGTTTCCAGTTTCGTGCCTCTGTGCTATGAGATTATATGAATCACTGGCTAATTAAACTGTTATGAACGTTAATGTATGTGATACAAACATATTATGAATGAACTCTTATGTAAGTTTTAAACTGGTTACATTGTATTCAGTTTGTGGAAAGCGCTTGTGACCATGAATGATCTCTCTGATGTATGTGCATGGCCGATCTAAATATAACTTAAACGTTACCTAATGTGATTGCTTAAAGGGAAACGAAGGATTGACAAAGAAAATATTTTCTGTAGAGGTACAATTGTCTAAGCGGGGCTTGCCTAATGCTGGTACTTGGATGGTAATTTGAAGGTGATAATTGTATGTGATGACAACTATCCTGATAATACCTAATTCTATTGGCATCTTAGATAGCTGAGATAAAAACTATTCCCGCTTTTGTTATAGATGATGACGTCACTGACCGACCGGAGATGCCGAAAGGGTTCCTGGCTCCTGTTGTCGTCGCTGTGAGTGTCGTATGTCTGATTGTTGTTGTGGCCCTTGTTGCTGTCGTTGCCGTCTTGTGCAGAAAAAAACGATCAAAAGGTAAAGACAAATTCGCAATCTACAATGTATGATCATGTATCATTTACGATGAGGCGAAATGGGGTTTGACGTCGCGTCCAAGATTATTGCACTTATATATATAGCGACGTGCATGCACGTGTGTGTGTGTGTGTGTGTGTGTGTGTGTGTCTGTGTGTGTGTGTGTGTGTGTGTGGCTGCTTGTACTAGTCCGGACTGATGCCGTTTTATAGTGCTATCACACTGAGATACCATGCCGCAGTTTAACATGAATACCCCACTCAGACACAGTATACTGACTCCGAGCCCGACCAGTCCTTGTTTTAGCCCCTAACGCCGAGTGCCAGACAGGGTAACAACAAGTTACATCTTTTAACGTCTATAACGCGGCCGGGGATCGAATCCCGGACCTTCCGCTCTCCGGGCGGACGCTCTACCACTAGACAACGGAGGTTGTCGTATCATTTACGTGATGCTGTCCAATGTAGTTGTCAGTAATGAACCCTCTTATTTTATTATGAAGACTTTTTGTTCCTCCAGTGTTGTCAATTCGGTAAATGAAAAGTAGTTCTGAATGAATCTAATAAAATTCCATCTATAGCATGGTTTGAATGGTTTGATAGGCATTTCTTAGAAGTTGACGGATGACGAAATAGACAAAGGTTTGTCAAAACCGACAGAGGTATAACGATAATTTAAGTCTACTAATCATAGGTTACTTGGAACCAGTCCTAACCCCGGAATCTCCACGGTGTTTTGTTGAGAAAAAGTTTGGTCTGAAGGGTTAAATCGTTCCCACAAAGGTCATGATAACACTTTCGATCGAAATGGAGACAATCAGCATTCAATTCCCACAAGCATACACCTTAAGAAACCTACGCTGTCCCCCGTGCTGCTTCGTGGATAAAGATCATGATGAATTGTCCTACAGATACCATTACTGGCGTCAATTAAAAAAATCTAAAAAATCTGCCAGACTTATTGAGTTTTGAATCACTGGCGATGATTGAAAACAGTAAGAGTGGGGAACGTTTCAATATAAAACGAACTGATGGAATAAAAAGGAAATATTTCGATTAAATCAGTTTCAGAAACTTCACGAATTAGAGAAAATACTTATGATGGAATGTACGAGTCCCCCGCAGAGGTCGAACTGAAGTACCAGGGACTCGTGAAGACTCCACTGACATATGCTCCCCGAGTTCCAAAACTACCACTGCCTTCTGTACCGCCTCCGGAGGACGACCTGTATGAAGACGCAGCAAGCCTTTAAATACTTCTGATAATTTTATGGTAAGGGACTACCACAAAATAAAATAAAATAGGGAGATACTTATTTTTTCGATCACGGCATTTTTGTTTTTTAAAGGAGAAACCGAACATTTATATCCAGGCCTCACACTCCCATCACTAACCAACTCCAGAAATATATACTCCAGGCCCTAACTTAAATCGACGGAACCTGTGGTCAAAGCCATGGCAACTCGCTATGCGACATTGCCTCCCTTATCTGTGCCAGGATCAGGCATGATTTACTCCGAAAGCGATTCTTGCTGCTTCAGCCTTACTGTGCTCGGTTATGACCTGAGTCACTCCCTTTTAACCCCCATTAACCTGACACACCGTGATATAAGTGAAACACGTTTCTTGCAGCGTTACACGAAACTCACTCAGCAGGCCACTGTGTTGGAATACGCAGTAAGCTTTAAGATCTTTCCTGTGTTTTTTTCAGGAAATAGGGTTCTATCCTACGCGATGGCTTTTAAAACTCCTTAATCATATTGTCCGTAGTTTTGTAATCGAATGTAGTTCACGCCTGTTCAAATGGACCGGGATACATCGTTACATTGTAGCTGTTAATGGCGTTTGCAAAGCGTAAACGCAAAAACATGTTCATGTACGATCTTAAAAAAATGAAAACATCATGATGTATTTGTTTGTCAGGGAAGATTTGACATTCTCTGTGTATGGTGAAGTTGCCCTTTGGGTTATGATGAAGACGTGTCCAAATGTCATATCTCGTGTTTCCATTATATGCATGATCGTGTAAAGCCAATATATGATTACTGCTTCAGTCTGATTGCTTTATGCACCATGCCCACAGGTCGATGTAGGGTAATAATCACACGCCCAGTGTCAGTGAACTGTAGACCAATGTCCTTTCAATAGCTACTTGACTATCACGCAGCGTTGATCATTATGATTGCATCCTGATTTTAATAATTAAAACGAAAGCTTTTTATTTGTCGTGAAGGTTGTGACGACTTAAAAAAGATGTTTGCTTGAAACACGTTTTAAAAGTCGCATAGAATTAGATACGTTGAATCCGTTTGAATGTCCAGTCACAACGTTTTAGCATGACATGAAACTATTTCGGTTTATCATAATTGAATATGTTTGGAATCAGAACTCAAACATCCTTAGGGACAGACCATTTTTATATATTTTCTCAGCCAAAAGCGAATGGTCAGTCCCTTACTTTCAAGTTTAAAAAATGTTCTTGTATTAAGGTAAGCTTAACAAGGTCATCGCGAGTATTGTAACATTTGAAAACAAAATGATAAGATGCTGGTTTATTTTGACATAAGTTAGCGGTTATTCTATCATATAAGAAATTAAGAATAAAATATATACCATCAACGCCAGAGAATAACCAGTCACTGATTCCAATGGGCGTGAAAGGCAACACAACGGTGAAAATGATATAAGTGGATCACTGAAAATCAGTGATGACACCAGGTGTTCGCGAAGAAACAGGTTTCAGACGTATGTGTACATCTATGCGCATCAAAATTACTCCTCTGTCTTCAATCAATACAATGAAAAAAAGTATTTTTAAAATTAAACTAGATTATTCAAGAACATTTTCTTCTTCACTGTTAGTGTAAATGCGTATTCAGTCATCAACATATTTTATACGTAAAGATCATGGTCAATAACCGATACTTGTTGTACGCCGCCACTAATGAGATACGGGGGTCAGACTGACTGACCATTGCAATGATATGAATCACTGGATTGTCTAGTCCAGACTCGATTATGTGCAGAATATAACTGGAATATTGCTGACTGGGGCGTTAAACAACAAATGGACAAAGAAACTATGTTATAAGTATGTGTACGTGAATGTTATGAACGTCTTTCCAATGTTTTGTTCTGGCTTACATGTACATGCTTCTTGTAAAGCGTCGCATTTTTATTTTACCTTTCTGTTTTTAACTGTATAGGGTGTTCAAGGTCTTCAGTACATCATGCTTGTCGTAAGAGTCGACTTAAACGTTCATTGGATGATTGGGTCTCGGTGACCTGGTTGGTGACATGACATCGTGTCCAGGGGATATTTGCTCATGATATCAAGCACTTGTTAGCCTGGTCTAGACACGAATATTTACAGGACGTCGTTCTTTAGCTGTAAATAGAGCTGACTGCGGCATTAACCAACATTCTTTCCCTCACTCTATCACATATCTAATATTTTCATTCGGTTTGTTTATAAGGTACTGATGCTTACAGCCATCAATTTTGTAATATTACTCAGTTCATTGCGAAGTATTTCATGCAAATATGTAACCACGATGTCACTTGATGTATCTATTTTTATTAATAAAATACGATTTAACTTTTGACGGCCTTTACCATTATTATATAATACTTTTCTCCTTTCCTAAAAAACAGAACAATAGTCAGGAAAGGGTGCAAATGGTAACAGAATCGTCTTTATGTATAATAAACGTATTAACTATTAAAGCTTACAAGACAGATTTCGGCAAACAAACCCATTTACCTACTTTAATAGTGTGCTCTTTCAAAGACTCATTAGTCAATGTGGACTCGGACACATATTGATGTAAGTTAGTAAAGACACCATCTTCCCGAGGCAAGGACGTAAACTGACTATAAAAGTCCAGTTTCTACCTTTGCCGAACTACGCTGGAATTTCTAGGCTAGATCGTACCGCCACCAGTGGCTATTAAGAGTTATGCCCCCTCTATGTCCCTCAAATTGATCAATCAGATTCCACCTCTCGTACCACTTGCATTTGCTTCGAACAAAATAGGCGGCGCCCCATCAAGACGACCTGTTCAATAATCATGGTCTACATTGTAATAAAACGGGTCGCAAAGTGCATAAAATCACTTGAGCACCTTGATAAAAACACGAAAACTTGTTTGCGAACCGGATGTCCAGTTCCTAACGCGAGTTTGATTGGACTATGCATAGACACGTTAGTCCATCCAAAATGTAACTCCGGAATTCAAGCCTAGTTGAGCAAGGGTGGAAACTGGACTTTTTTTAGTTCTGGCCTCGGGAAGATGGTAAAGACACATGCCTCTGTCTGAATAAGAAAACCGAACAGTATAAAAATGTAGTATGCTGTCATGCATCACTTACCTTTCTGTATATTAAAGTGACGCATTTTGTGCTTAGAATATGATTCAGTTTTAATCCGTTATATACCTGATATTAAAGTTGTACTACACTATATACCCGATCAAGACAGTAGTCTTGTGTACACCCGTTGAATGAAACGTTCACTTGACGGTTTCCCTACGCTGGCAGAGTGTGAAAAGCGAATTCTTTTTTCTTTCCGCTGTGACCATTGCTGAAAGCTGCTTAAAAACCTCTCTCCTTCATTATGCCCAGACCATCTCCAAGTACAGTGAAACCTCTTAATGTCATGTGACGCCACCCTCAGCAATGCGACAAAGCTTTGTAAAATAGGTCTTCACCAACCCATGCTTGTCGTAAAAGGCGACTAACGGGATCGGGTGGTCAGACTCGCTGACTTGGTTGATGCATGTCATCGTATCCCGATTGCGTGGATCGATGCTCATGATATCAATCAATGGATTGTCTGGTCTAGACTCGATTATTTACAGACCGCCGTCATATAGCTGAAACATTGATGAGTGCGGCGTTAAACAACAAACAATAAACAAACAAAACTGTAAATAACCACTCTGGACATCATGAGCATCAATTCACGCAAATGGGATACAATGACATGCAATCAACCAAGTCACCGGACCTGAACACCCGATCCCTCTGGTCACTTTAATGTACAACCTGTATAATTTTCCGGGGGACTAAACTGCCAGGCAAAAGAAAGTAAACACCCATGTTTGATGGTGGCTACAAATGAAACAAATGAGAAATGGTTATTCACTGGTGATTTGTTATGAATTTCTTGTGAATATGGAAATGGGTTTGTCGTTATTTATTTTATCTTCATTCAGCCAAATAACGTTTTGATAACATTTGTAACTTTTTTGGTCAAATCGATTTTCAAGTGTATTCATTTTTAGGCCGGCAGTTAATATTGTTACTCAGAATTCCCATGGGTGGAAATGGTCCGGATTATCAAACGTCCAAAATAACGAATCGTACGTAGCGACCCTTCTGTTATCTAAAGACGTTTCCGACAGTTTCACAATATTTCCTAATGACTCTACAGAGCCATAATTATCAAAGCAGATCTTACGCCCCCATATTTCCCATTACCCCATGGTCAATCACGTTCCTGGAAATACGATACCTTCGAACACAGTCCAACACTGTCAATGGCACAAAAAAATGATAATCCTCAAAGTAAGATGCTCAGCACAAAAAATCCCAATGGAGGAGGAACACAGAGGCGGAGCTCTTTGATGCTAACGTGTTCTCATTACAACTCTTCCGATAACCTGACCACGATCAATGTTGTAGTTTGATGGATTGTCATACAGTGTAACATTACGATCTGTCCTCCCTTCCGGCTCTTCTTAGAATTCAAGGAGCCACTGATCCGCAATAAGGGTCTATCAAATCATACAAAATAATAGCTGGTCCCAACATAACAATACGTGTATCTCCGAGTGTGGTAAATGTAGAAGTCAATCTCTCCAGTTAGATTTTGATGGTCTCCAGTTCAAAAGTAATTATTTGATACCATCCAACGATTCCTACATTTAGATCCAAAATATTGACGCCATAGATGATACTGTTGGTCGATGTGTTGTAGTGAATGAGTTGTGTAAGGGTTATGCAGTTCCAGTATTGATCGGATGTGACCCGTTGACTTCGGATATTAAGAAAGATGGTTCCACCACGAATTCCGAAATGTCATGTCCTGAGGTAGGTCAGATTCCTGGAATGTCCAATGTCTGGGACATTTCTATATTAATTAACAGGGGTTGGATATATCTAAGATCCATTTCAGTTTCAAGAATTATTATACACTCCTATGATGCCTGTCGATGATGTGAACGATACTTTGAGCAGAACTCTGATGGATCGGTTTTCGTTAAATCACCGTACCTGGAAGCATCACATATAAAGGTATATAGATTTACCCGTTAAGGTCAATCGCCCGGGGTTACGGAGTCCGGATTCCCAAACTGAAATCCTACCCGAGTGTATTCATAGTGAGTTAGCGCTTTGAACAATAATTTATTGTCATTATGACGTATCAGTTTAATGTGTGTGTGTGTGTGTGTGTGTGTGTGTGTGTGTGTGTGTGTGTGTGTGTGTGTGTGTGTGTGTGTTTCGATTTGATCTCACGATCGGAGGATTCAACACCTTTAGAACGCTAATCTGCGGAGTGAATTGGAGTCTAAGGCGGCAGGGTCCCCCGTGTCCCCCCATACACAAGAATGTTTGTTGTTGAACACCTCACTAAGCAATATTCCAACGATACGACGGCGGTCTGTAAATAATCGAATCTGGACACAATCAAGTCATTGATATCATGAGTATTGAACTATGCAATTGAGATACAATGACATGCATCAACCAAGTGACCGAGCCTGACCACCCGATCCCGTAGTCGCCTCTTACGACAAGCATAGTCGCCTTTTGCGGCAAGCATGGGTTGCTGAAAACCTTTCCTAACCCGGATCTTAGTTTAACTTAGCACATGTATGGTTAATGCGACCAAGTGCACAAGTCAGGGTTATGAAGTATAATCTAGTCACTGTCATACTTGAATATATATGATTTACCTTGCACAGTTTCTTTGGAGACAAAGAATACATACCTAGAGAAATGTGAACAATGAAACTTAAATACAATAATTATTGAAGATAACTACCACTTTTAGTTTGAGATAAATATGACCTATTATGAAGTAACTATGAGAGTCGACAGTTTTATGTACAACCCGCATTTATGTAAACTTACATCCGCAAATACTCTCTCCGCAAATAGTTGTATATGAAATCTGTTCATATATCATGCTTTGTTGCTTAGAATCTAATTTGTCAGTTAACAACCATTTTGAAAAATCATGTACAATATCATGTATAATATGGGGCTGTGAAATAAATCATTAATTCTTTCAAAACTCCTTCGGTGTTCAGTTCTTTGTACTGAGACAACATTTTCACACACACGCACGCACACACGCACGCACACACGAACTCAAATTTACACACTTAAACCAGCTACGAACGCCAAACAGGAAATGATTACTAACGTTAAGATTCAATTACTATTTTAATCAGATCATCGAATATATTCTACTTTTATTACTCTCGTCAGACACGTCATTAATCCTTGATAGGAATGTCAGTTAGTCACGCACGCGATAGTAACTTCTACCGACCAACCATTTGATTTTCAAGGGGAGAGGGGCGGATTGTTTTAAAAAATAATCAATCCCCTGTTTTTACTGGAAACAAAATTACATATGGTTCGTATTGTAGAAAAAGGAATTATGTGCCCTGTTATTTGAGACAAGTTTCCGATGCATACAGTTCGTTGTGTTTATTTGTTTATTGTTTTAACTGAGCAACTGTTTATAAGACAAACGCACAACTTTATGAATAACAACTAGAAGCTGTTACCCATAAAGTCGTACTTTTGATAGCTCACCTTTTAGCGAAAACCTGTTATCACGACTATTTGATAGTGATCATAAACACATACTCATGATATAGTCGGAATATAGTCGACTCTGCTTTCTGCAAAGATTTCTATTTGGTATGGAAAGGGTTTTGTCGCTTTTATTAACTCACCATATTGTACAATGCTAGTCACACAATCACCTGTTTATACCTGAAAAAAATAAATCAACTAAAACAATTATCATCTTCAACCAAAATCCTGCTCTCTCTCCCATCCCCTTGAAAAATATGGTTGCCCCTTTAGGGTTCCAAAAGTTCACATGACAGAACCATAACCTTCCATGTTATGTTATTGACCGAAATCCATAGACAAGAATTCCCTTGAACTTTGTCTGCAATAAACCAATACCAACACCTGTCAGCCGCAGACGCATGATGATAAGGGAGCATTGCTGGAGTCATCCGATGCGGAAGAACAGGAATCCCGCTTCTTAATGACTGCCATGAGAGTCTAGAAAGCCTGCTGAAACGGTTGACCACTGTCCAGTCACCTTTGTTCGCATTTAATTGGTGTCCAGTTGCACTGTTTGATTGATGATGACTGCTGTTGGTACTTCATTCTACGTGATACAGAATCTTCGGATTTTCGCTTTAAAGAATTTTGAGTGATTTTACATATTTGAACAGGCTGGTTTTCACTAGCATCGCTTGAACTTTCTCTTAATGTGGATGTTAATTATATATAAACAAGACGATAATGAACGTCGGCCTTATCGGCTTTAGGAGTCAAATGTGAATAC